ATTATATTTTTTATTAATTCTCCTACGGCACTGCAAATTCATTTCAGTTTCTAAATACGTATATAGAGTTATTCTAGAGATTCTGACGGAAAATTCATGAACGCACATCCATTATTAACGAAGTTATTCAGAAAAAATCATCAACAATGACAGATTATATTTTTTAATAATTCTCCTACGGCACTGCAAATTCATTTCAGTTTCCAAATACGTATAAGGAGTTATTCTAGAGATTTTAGCAAAGAATTCATAAACGCACATTCATTATTAAAGAAGTTATTCAGAAAAAATCATCAACAATGACAGATTATATTTTTTATTAATTCTCCTACGACACTGCAAATTCATTTCAGTTTTTAAATACGTATATAGAGTTATTCTAGAGATTTTGGCGAAAAATTCATGAACGCACATTCATTATTAACGAAGTTATTCAGAAAAAATCATCAACAATGACAGATTATATTTTTTATTAATTCTCCTACGGCACTGCAAATTCATTTCAGTTTCTAAATACGTATATAGAGTTATTCTAGAGATTCTGACGGAAAATTCATGAACGCACATCCATTATTAACGAAGTTATTCAGAAAAAATCATCAACAATGACAGATTATATTTTTTATTTATTCTCCTACGGCACTGCAAATTCATTTCAGTTTCCAAATACGTATAAAGAGTTATTCTAGAGATTTTAGCGAAGAATTCATGAACGCACATCCATTATTAACGAAGTTATTCTGAAAAAATCATCAACAATGACAGATTATATTTTTTATTAATTCTCCTACGCCACTGCAAATTCATTTCAGTTTCTAAATACGTATATAGAGTTATTCTAGAGATTTTGGCGAAAAATTCATGAACGCACATTCATTATTAACGAAGTTATTCAGAAAAAATCATCAACAATGACAGATTAGTTTTTTTAATAATTCTCCTACGGCACTGCAAATTCATTTCAGTTCATAAATACGTATATAGAGTTATTCTAGAGATTTTGGCGAAAAATTCATGAACGCACATTCATTATTAAAGAAGTTATTCAGAAAAAGTCATCAACAATGACAGATTATATTTTTTATTAATTCTCCTACGGCACTGCAAATTCATTTCAGTATCTAAATACGTATATAGAGTTATTCTGGAGATTTTGGCGAAAAATTCATGAACGCACATTCATTATTAAAGAAGTTATTCAGAATAAATCATCAACAATGACAGATTATATTTTTTATTAATTCTCCTACGGCACTGCAAATTCATTTCAGTTTCTGAATACGTATATAGAGTTATTCTAGAGATTTTGGCGAAAAATTCATGAACGCACATTCATTATTAACGAAGTTATTCAGAAAAAATCTTCAACAATGACAGATTATATTTTTTATTAATTCTCCTACGGCACTGCAAATTCATTTCATTTTCTAAAATCATATATATGTAGTTATTCTTGAGATTTTAGCGAAAAATTCATAAACGCACATCCATTATTAACGAAGTTATTGGGAAATGAGTAATTCTTGGAATTATAGTGAAATAGGTATGAGTGCACACCAATTAGTAACTGTTATTTGAAAATGAATGTTGAAAAATAAAGACCTATAACTGAAGTGATCGATTTTTCTCTGTTCTAATAATGGTTGTTACACTTCCTAGGCTATCAGGAAAATGATTAACAGGCAAAATACTGCTGAAACATACATCAAAATAAGTATGGTTGGGAAAAGCGTGGCTGGGAAGTTTGGCAACGTTGCACGCGAAATCTCCTCTATCCCAATTTCGACAGTCCACACGTCATAAAGCGTGGCTAGAAAATCGTGGATAACTTCACATCAACAAACTTGGCTCACCTCAATTGAACTTTTGCCAACACGCCATGCAAACTTTCGATATTTCCAAATTGCATACATTTTCATACAATATATCTTATATTTTCGAATTCGAGGGGTTCACGAGAACAAGCATAATTTCATCCACACATCCTCCATTGTTCAAAATTTTGAAAATATACGAGCGGTTGTCATATCGCAAATAAATTGGGTAATTGTTGGAGTGAGCCACCTGGGAAAAATATTGTTCAATTCGAATTGTATAGTTGACAGTTATCATCGAGTTTTGCATTATTGAAAATATGATTTCAACAAAATAAATACTTTGAGCCTTTGAGCCCTCACCCATCATTGTTTTTTTGGAAAATTTACTTTGGTGCTCTATTTCGTGGTTACTTCGATTATTGACTAATATACAGAGTGACCCAGAAAAACGTTGGTATGCTCCGGGAGGATATTCTACCAATGAGAATAAGAGGAAATTCTCCTTTCAACATCTGTCCGAAAATGCTGTCTAAGAATGTCTTTGAAGGTAGGTCTAAAAATGGAGTTTATTTTCTATTATCTTTGTTATTACCTATTCTAGAATCGCGAAACTTGGTACCTATATCTAAAGGTAATTTGATCTTACAGATCGGTCCGTGATATTATAAAAATGCCATCACTTTTTTTGATTCACGATTCGGTCTCATTTTTAGTACCAGAATATGATTTTTCAAACACTTTTACACAAAAAAGACACTCCTGTCAGAATGCCGTTAGACGAACTGCTTTCGATAGTAGTGTCATTTTTTATTATGATGTCCGAAATATTTCGCAATGATTTTGGGTATTTGTTCTTATGATATAGAGAAATTATGGAGCTTGATCATTGAAATTTTGCATTTTTCATTTTCATCTCAAGAATTACCTTCGGAGTATACGAACGTTATTCTGTGATACGCCGTTTAGCGTTTCGAACATTGTAGCAAAATAAAACAGAATCCCGATTAAGAGTATTTTGGACTAGCTTATCCTCGGAATACGTTGGAATATAGTTACATGTGAGATAAATAATAATTTGAATACCTATCACCGAGCCTATCACTCTCAACTGAACTGTAACTTTTGCACTCTCCGTTGACCTGCGTGTTGTTTAAATATCAATACTACAAACCAAAATAGCACAGTTGAATAGAAACAGATGATGCATATTCATCTCCCACTCAAAACGAAATAAGTCTCTGGTCGATGGAAAAACAGCATGGGTAATGGGTATGTCACTCGGTGTGTCATTATCTTTAAACATTTTCAGAATTTATTTGCGTTGTTGATGTGTGGTGAGAAAAAATTTCATCGGATGATATTATCATGTAAAACATAGGGATGAAAAAATTAATGGTGGTTTGTGAGATTATACTCGTGTAAGTTGCTGTTCGGATATTATTTGTCATTCGCGATGGAATCGTTAGGAGTCAACATACCCTCTATTCATTCCGGCAACGTGATACAAACGAATCTATATAAAAATGGAGGATACTCCACATCAAGAGTGGACAATGATATCTGACCCCAACTATATATAAATATAAATAGATTATATGACCCTCCTCTTGGAGTTCATACATTTTCTACAAGACTAATAAAATAATATGGCTTCGGGCTTCCTTCGCTTTCCCTATCCCTGTCCCGGTGAGCGAGCGCAAAGGCCGGTCATAACCGTGGGGGAAGACGAAAAGTGTTTTTTTTTCCTTTTCGACAACGATGTCCTGCTAAACGGGAATTTCAATTCTCCGTTCACCTCCGGATAATGGCGAGGGGACAATATTATATTATATTCGAAGATTATGCATTGCTATCCATTATTTTTATCGCGATGTTACACTTCTTTGGCAATTTCATTGAGTAGAAATTCCTGAAATTCTTGGAAGGGTTGATACTTAATAACGCAAAAATTCGAGAAAATAATTTTCCATTTAGAATATCATGGTGGTATGATTTTTTCCGTTCTTCTAATAGTCGAAATTTTTATATCACCTGATTTTTGTAATACGAACAAATTACATAAATCTTGTCAGATGTAGATGAATCTGATGACCTAGTCAACTCGACATTTGAAAAGCTAAGCTGGATTGTATGTATGTACATAAGGTGTGTGTGTACACCTGGTTGCTTTATTGTTAATGGAATTATCTTCATTGAATGTTTCTGATAAGTAATACTAAGTATACCACCATCAGCGGGAATTTTCGCTTTATCGACCATTAAATTCATCAGCTTATCATGTTGAATCACCGAGTTTGAGTCAGCAAATTTTAAATTTTGTTTACCAATCTTTATCTTTTTCAATGAAGCATAATGGCATTTCTTGTGGTACTTACCTATAAGAAATGATTAGATTAATATTTGTCTGTTTGCCTATGCTTTGGTCTTATCAATTAGAAGGGGGGAAGAGCTTATACCGATGAAAATATCATAAGAAATGATGATTATCCATAGTGAACTTTGAATTCGAAACAGGCAACTATAATGGAAAAACAAATATTCATTATAAGTACCTAAACTTTTCGATAATGATGATTTTGGTTCGTCCTGAAAGCGTATTAGGAATATCCTTTTTGGCATGGATATTTTGGGACTGTGAAACATTTCAAGACATGAATTTAAATAAAATGTGACATAGGTACAAGTATTAACAGGTTGTTAATCCTCTGGCAACTGGCTGTCGATTGTGTCTGGAGGTGGAGTCACGTCCTCTTGTATGTTACGAAGATAAAGTCGATTCGTGACCTATACTATCTGAGATTACAATGGAAAAAACAATGATAGAGATAACACACAAAGAATGGTGTGTATATATATATACACAAGGGTTTTTGAACCTAAACGGAAAATACTGATAAACCAAGATTTATTCAGAAATTGATTCAGCTTCATTAAAATTTTATTCTCCGTTTCAACTTTCGTATATTCATAATATATTCATTGAAATAATCAGTATATGTAGGTATAATCGTTACCCCTACCGTGAGCGCACAAACATTGCATGGTTTTGTTATGTATTTTTATTTTTCAAATCGAAAATTATACATTAGATAAAAATGAGGCAAGAGTACTCTCATTGTGTATGTGCAAAGGTCTAACATCTAAGTTGTTTGAAGAATTGCATACAAAAATGCTACGGCCAAAATGTTTTTCTTAGACCCAAACGCATGTCCGTGCATAAGATTTTGTAAGTTCATTTGCTTTCCACTATATTGGGCGAACAAATTCAGTATGTATAATTCTTTGGAACAAAAAAGGTTTATGGGTGAGCGAGTGGGTGAATATCTCGGAAGTAAGCATTTTTTTATTCATATCCTAGAGATTATCTATATTTCCTGGGACGTCCTGTATGCTAAATAATTTAATTGAAACAAAAATGCTCTTTCGAAAAATAAAATCTACGTGCCTCAGCATGTTTCCTTACTGCATGGCCTAATAAAGATTTAAACGAATTTGTTCCAACGTTTACGTGTTCACTGTATAAATGGACTTCGTGCCTTTTATGTTACCATATATGCTACCTATATCAGGGCATATATTGTGTATGTATTTTAGGTTATATAAGGTTATTCCCTAGGGCATAATTAATTCCGATAGAAATGCGTACGGATTCCAGAAATGCAAAACTAGATAATTTGAATAATTTGAAATTTTTCATTTTGGAATGCATTTTTGTAGGTACACATCTCGGTATCCGTACTTGTTATGTTTTTCCATTAAATTTGCACGACGAACTTCTGGGTAGTTTGAGAGTTCCCGATTGTTTGTTTTTCAGAATTCGATATGAAGTGAATGAGTTATCATACTAACTGTTTTTTTTAATTGCTAGGAAAGAAAATTTGAATTTAGATTGGCTAGGGAGGGAATTAGTATTCTAACTAGACTTTTTTCATGAATTCCATAATGTGGATTCGACGAATCGAAGAGATGATGAAATTCTTGTCTTGCAGGGAGAATTCACTGAGATTGCTTTCTGAACCATATTATTTGATGGAATATGAGATCTGATAGGATACGCTGTCGCGACAATTAGAATTCATAGTCTCCAGGTAGTAGAAAGGATATGAGATCCAACAGAGCTTTTGGTGATTGCCGTCTTCCAATTTTCCATAACTCGGGTACAGGCGGCTTATCTGTAAATGCACCTTCTTCAACTAATATTATAGGTACACCTAGCTATACGGACGTCCCAGAACATTACGTTCGTATCGTTGAATGCAGATCCGTTTCAATTATTTTTGTCATCATTGATCCTAGAATCACGAAATTGATGATATATAGAGTGATTTGAACTTACAAATCGTTTCGTAGTACGAAAAACATGATTTAAAATACAGGGAGGTGCGAAACTCGTAACCGATGCTATAAAATTGCCCCATGTGCTTTTGTTTCAAGATTCATCTTATTTCTACCATCAGAATATGATTCTTCAAATACTTTCACATGAAAAAGGTATTCTTGTCAGAATGCCGTTTTCGAGAAAAGTTTCATTTTTCATTTTGATGTCCGAAAAAATTTTGAGCGTGTGCTCTTATGATAAAAAATTAGAACTTGATAGTTATTAAAATTTTACATTTCCAGTTAGTTTTGTCTCTCTATAATATATATAACCATAATGTTTTTGGTACTATGCGAAACGATTTGTAAGATTATATCACCCTAATACTAATAGGTACCAAATTTCGTGATACTAGGATAAATGATAACAAAGACAATTGAATAAATCTGCATTAAAGGACCTACCTTCAAAGGGTTCTACCGCCCTCAGGAAGCATATACACTTGATGTTGATAGAAGCATTTTTTTCTTATTTTCATCTGCAGAAATACCTCCCGGAGTATACGAACGTCGTTTCTATAGAAAATGGCAAATCTCCATTAAACAACTAGATAATTAGTATACGCAGTAGGATTCTTCAGTTGATAATGAAACCAGAAATCCTAATGCAAAAGGATAATAAGGATATCGGTTGTGGAACAGGAGAAATTCAGATGGCTCTCTGTAATCAGTACCGGCATAATAGCTATATCTCAACTGGACTGTGGGCCTTATAAAGTGCCAGAGAAATGAATATATTCAGTGGAATGTTCCGACGAAACTAAAAAGAATCTTACCTGTTTGGACATGTCTTGCCGAGGCATTTCATTTGTATTCATTGGAGTCGTTGAAAGGGAAAGTCGAATTGATTTGAGAGATTTTTAATTTTCTCTTCCCGTTGACAGTAAAACTCAGTTTGAATAGCTCCTCGGACTTATTGGTAATGTAACTTGGACTTTTATTCTCTGGAGATAACGACTTGTCTCGTTAAATTATTTTACATTTTATCAAATGAGGATTTTGAATTTCATTGGATCTGAAATGAAAGGAAATGTTCGGGAAAATTCGTGAAATGAACATAACAAGAATCTCAATTTTACCAATTCTTCTGTTTCACTAGGGAATCATTGATTATTGTATTCAAATGTATATTCCAGTAATAATCTTATCACTTGCCAATAATTGTTATTGTTGGTTTTGAGGTCTTCGCTCCAAAAACCACACTTATTATAAGTTCTTTGTCCTCATTCCATAAACAATTTCTAATATCTGTTTTTATGGATTACCATATTTTATTTACATCGTCACATTCATTAGACAGGTATTCATTCAGTCCAAATCTATGAAATTGTGAAAGTTCTTTCTTGTTCACTGTTCAATGGATCTTGCTATTTAGCCGTGTATATCTGCTCGAGATATCTGAGTTGAATCAGCTTCATTTTAAGAACTTTCACAGCAATTCATTCACTTATAATGTCATGCTTTTGTCAACACAAACCGAGACACAAACGAATAAGATATTATTGTCAGTTATCGACTTCTTTTACTCCAAGATAATGAACAACTTTTTCAATGATCCTTCCCTATGTGATCTAATGGCATGAAATGTAAAAATGGATGAATTTTGCGAAATTTCATGTGAAGTATCAGTTTGAAAAAAACACTCGTAAATATTGGGAATGGATGACGAATTATTATACACATAAATGAATTGTTAAATTTTATCGGCCATATAAATAAACTGTAAAATTTGTAGTGCATCGAATAAATGTTGATTGCACTAACAGCTGATCAAAATATGCACACTAATTTCGAGCCGATATAGAATTTTTACAGGCGGCCATTGTAATGGCAAAATACGGTTCTCGAGTGGCTCGTATATTTGCGAACAATCGTTTTTCTATTTTGTTGAGTGCAATATGCAGTATACCGTATACCTACCTGGAATTTGAATAAAATGGATAATGGACTACCGAAAATTAAAAATGTTTCCTAGCATGCTTTTAAGGTCCTTAATGCTATAGTGAAAAGAATGTGAATGGCATTCACTCGAAAAATTTTGCAAGTGAGTTCTGTTAGTAAAAACTGTAAAAAGAATGTCGAAATTATTGACAATCGAAACAGTTCAATTCAAAGGGTTGGCTTTGCTCACGAATTGCACAACATTTGTTAAATTGGAGACGAATCAGGAGAAACTGTAGGCCAGTCAAGATTCATATCGGATTCTCATAAAAAAACTAGAATTGTGTCTAAGGACCGCCTTAATAAACATGGATCATGCATCGATATCACGCAATTGGATTGAATCAGATTTAAGAAAAATCAAAGACCCTTATTCTGAATGTAACAATGTTTAGTCTTGCAACTTCCTTTGGGACAGAATGATTTCAGCATGGTGGGAAAACTTGACTGATTAGGTCACACTATCGAGTAGAGTTCGACCGATGATTTTGCCACAAATGTTCAATTGGAGACGAATCAGGAAGAACTGTAGGCCAGTCAAGATTCATGTCGGATTCAAAAAATCAAAAATTGTGTCTAACGGCCTTCTCAATAAACAAGAATCGTGCATCAACATCACAATCATGGGATTGAATCAAATGAAAAAAAAAATCCAAGACCGTTATTCTGTATGTATATAAAAATGTTTAGTCTTGCAACTTCCTTTAGGACATAAGGAATTCAGCTTGTGGGAAAACTTTACTGATTAGGTAACCCTATCGAGTAGAGTTCGACCGATGATTTTGCCACAAATGTTCAATTGGAGACGAAACAGGAATAACTGTAGGCCAGTCAAAATTGATATCGGATTCAAAAAATCAAAAATTGTGTCTAACGGCCTTCTCAATAAACAAGAATCGTGCATCAATATCCCAATCATTGGATTGAATCAAATGGAGAAAAAATCCAAGACCGTTATTCTGTATGTAACAATATTTAGTCTTGCAACTTCCTTTAGGACATAAGGATTTCAGCATAGTGGAAAAACTTTACTGATTAGGTAACCCTAACGACTAGAGTTCCACCGATGATTTTGCCACAAATGTTCAATTGGAGACGAATCAGGAAGAACTGTAGGCCAGTCAAGATTCATATCGGATTCAAAAAATTAAGGACCTTCTCAATCAACAAGAATCGTGAATCATTGGATTGAATCAAATGAATAAAAAATCATAGACCGTTCTTGTAAAATGTGACACTTTGTTAGTCACATACATTCTGTTAGGTGGCGAATCATCATTCGTTGCGGAAACCCGCGCTGTTGGCATCATAAAAATCTCACATCCTCCACCTTCACATCGAATGCTAACAATACCCATTCACGGGGGTACTCCGGGTCTAATCCCTTTCTGAATGAGGGCTCGCCCGTGTTCGATCTTACGGGGTATTGCGCACCTTAATGGGAAATTCGCGGCATCTCTCGAGCTGCGGCACATTATTCGTGGCCGGTAACAAAGTATGTCGCCCTGCTCAAACACATAATGTTGGATATTGACTGGTTCACCGTTTAATTTCTGCAACAGCTTGACGTGAACGCTCTCACCCCCTGTTTTTCATCTTGGGTGCTTCACCCTCTTAATCGCCGTTGCCAAACGTGTATTTCGAATTTGTTCTGGCCAACCGGGTTCAACTATGATTTTTAATATGAGAGGGACTGATGGGAGAGAGTGGCCACGTTTATACCGTGTCTTCGTTAGCTGACTAATGACTATAGGTTTGTTCGTGTTTCAAATTGTTGAAACGGTCCTTGGACTGCTCCGAATTAGGTGTGCATCAAATTGAATCTGAAACAAGTCTAGAATGGTTTTGAATCCAGATGAACGAATACGTGTTTTCTTGTTTTCTCATCGTCGATCTCGAAAACAATATGCTGTGTCTTGTCACGTGGATCTAGGGCATATTCTACAGAATGGTCTCGTTGGATTTCCAGCAGATGAAATGTTCAAATCTGGACTTGAAGAGAATGATGGGCTGAAGCTCATATACTCATTGTTCATAATCTTGATTGGATTTTTTCAATAATTCCATTCTTCATCTCATTTAAAAGTGTATCTCTTAACTAAGAAAGCTTAAAGTTTTAAAATATGTTACGCATGCGCATCCAAGTTATTCACGACAGTCATGGACAGTTCCTACCCAGAGGCTCGTTCGTTTGTTTTGTGTATAAACTGTACAAATTGGTCAACTTACCACCTTGGTTTGGTCCCAGACTAGAATAGTATGATGAACAAGACGGTGTAAATACTTTCGGCTACTTTTGTATAGCCTTGACAAGTTGAGTGTCAGTTGTCAGTGGTTTTATGATTCTTCTAAACAATATTTCATTCAATCTCAGCAGCTAATTTTGAATCTCGCTAAAATGTATTATTCATTATTTACGTATTTAAGTGGAGTCCCACAACCGAGTAAACCTAGTAAACTGTTTGGTAGGAATTTAGTCAGATCAACTTGGTAAGCATACCGAATATACATACGGTATAAACGTGGCAAGTATTGCCAGCGGTTGCCAGGATGTTAGGTGATGGTTTTGAGAATATTCGCCTATTTTTTGGCCACCCTAAAGTTTTTAAGATATTACCTATAATACCTTTGAGGTGTGGAAAACTGAATTTGAGACATAAATTCGATGATATCGAATGTGTTTTTCGCTTATAGTAAGATGTAACAAAGAATACCGATAATGTTTATTGTTCCCTTCGAAAAAAGTCGCCCATCTGGTGAACGGTCTATTGGTTATAAAAATCAATCGCAAACGACGGGAAATTATCGTCGCTTCGACGATAAATTGCCCATTCTTGCAACCCCGCCCGTAACTTTTACGGGCGAGGAATATATCCGTTGTGGCTCGTGCTCTGTCACGACGTGTTCCAACAAGTTTATCCATTCTCATTGTTGTTCTCACATATCGGCAAATTTTCGATTTCCGAATTGAGACTCATAGACACTCCCTTGGTACGTAATACACATAGGTAACAATTATTTCATATCGGACTTGGAAAGATGAAAAGCCGTATGTTCAGTGGCAAATCATAATAATTCGCATAATAACCATATCGATGGTGAAGAATGGCAACTTCCTCTGTCATTGTTATTTCACTTCGTTGTTTCGATAGATGGTTCTAGTGGTTACTTATTCTAATAATCCATTTTTATTATCTAGGATTCGAATTATACACACAGAACAACGCTTATCTCTTGAACAATATGTATTTTCGTCGAAATTACACAATAGGAATGTGAAGAATTCATAACAGAATACAGTTAACGAGCAATCAACTGAAGATCAGTTCTCAGTCTAATCCCAATTGGTACTGAAGAGTATGGTGTATGGCTGTATGGTTTCTGGTTTTAATATCTCGTCCTCTTCTGTATGTCGGTTCGGCTATGTTCACGTATCCTGGCAGATGAGGTGGATTGTTTAATGTCATCGTCACTTCGGTTGATAGGATACTTCACCGTGTCTGTGAATACGAATATCTAAAAGTTCCACAGAGGCGTATCAGCACTAATTTACGTAACAGTCATGAGCAGTAGAAAGGCAAACATGAACATTGCAGGGAGATGAAATTCAATGTTTTGATTTTTTTTAGCACAATATCAACTCATATTTATATCTATTAGGAAGAATTTAGTAATATACTTTCCTCGAGACAATCCTATAGAGGTTGAT